TGACAGACAGGGAAGTGGGGCCAATCAGGCCACTAGGTCGTCCTTACGTGTTTACGTGTCCACTGTCACTGTAATCGATCAATAAAACGCTGTTTAGCATAACCTGCAGTCACCCGTTACAACAGCTAGCGATTGCATCAGATGTTGAGCACGGCGTTCCCACACGTGATCTGGTGCGGATGCATGACCGAGCGCCTTCAGCTAGGTGAGTCCACTAAAACTAATCTGGTCAGCATCCAATGTCGAAAACTTACAGAGCTATTTATTTTGGAGATTTATTTGCCGCTACACACCCCTTGATATAGTTTTGTCAAAATTTGGATCTATGCTTGTAATTGTTTTACTGAGTTGGGGTGCAATCTCGACTATTCGCTTTACATTTTTCAGTTCAGCTCCACTGTCTTGGATCACAGTAAAAAAGCTAATACAAGATGTAACAACACGCACAGTTACTGATGCTATACCAGAAGAATTAACACTACAAACCTAAGTGTCTGTTTATGAGTGAATCCAAAGGAAAACAAATAACACCAACAAAAAATAATATGTTAAATAAAACTGTCATGACCTTGGATGTCTGGCTTTTCTATCACACGATTTATCTACCAGTCCGAATACGACTTATACGAATCTTCACACTAGGCCAACCAATGACGTTCAACCGGTGTGGGCAGTTTAGCGTCCTTATTGGTCCTATGTCCTCCGAGCCCTTCCACTTGAGTCCAGAACACAATACCAACTTCCGTAATATGAATCGAATCCGAGCAGATCGTTTATTTCAGACATACCCGGTTTATATATCAATCAGACAGACCACAACGTACCATGAAATAGAAAATAACATGTGTACACAAATAAGCCAAAAAGTGGCTGTGAACGAGGGAGACAGTAATTAATAGACTGAGCATGGCTTAAGAATCGTAAATCGTACACTAATAAAATATAGGTCAAAATAAAGCTTGTAATAAGAGGAATATAAATATACATAATGTAATTGTTGAATAGTTATACAATAAGAATATTTATAGAATATTAGTCCATTAGTAGTCCTCGGGAGTTACCTGTAATTTAATCTTCACTGGGTTATAACAAAAACGATGATAATAATTGTCATAAATTAATTATTAATTTTAGGCTCCTTCTGTGTCAACAAACGCAAACGGGTTCACTTGATTGACAAAGGTTCCTCTGCCCAAGGTGGCATCAGCGACATGATGAGAGAGATACATCTGATAGTATTATTCAGTAATAATCTAGGCCAAAACTCCAACGCAGTGTAGAATAGCCTGAAAGGATGTTATGACGATACTATTCAGGTGGAAGAACGAACGACAGAGATAACGTTTATTTTTTATAACAACGGTAGTGTGTATATCTATTGGTACAACCAAACGATTATATCCGTTTATTACCATTGATACAGAGAAACAATAGATACTGAATATAGATGGATTACATATGAAAAAATACAAATAAGGAAAATGTGGTCTTTATTTTGAATATGCATGTCATTAAATCGTACAAACCACGAGTCGTTTCCCTGTTTTTTTTATCAATTCATTTCTATTTATCCATTTACGAACTCATATTCCTTATATTTCATTTCAATTGTATCGAGTATACTTCGTTCAAATTGTCCAGCAACTCGTGCTATTCTGTATAATAACCGTTGGTTCCCATACTCTTGTACTCGATCACTGTAATGACTATTATATCTGTATGGACGCCCTGTATTCAAAACGCTTACTTCGATATTATATTACCCAATAACAGTGCTCTTTTATAAACATTTGTCCAAGTTTTTGTCCTTATTCGAATACAGAACTGTGTTTTGGTAGCGTTTGCTCATATTCGACGATTCACACTCAAGTATTTCTGGTGCTGCTTGTGTATATTAAGGAGCATTAGCTTAAGACTACCTCGAGGCTCATATATTTCGAAATCAGATGGTTGCCTGCCTGTGGTTAGTTTATAAACAATTAGATGAGCTAATACATTTGGAGTAATGGAAACAAAATCCAGAAAATCTGTAGTGGCATTGGACTCTGGCCATACGACCTTTGAAGATGAGCATATAACTACTGGAGGATTGTATTCAACAACTGACACAAAGAGAAGGTTAACAATGGAGTAGGCAGGAACATTAATTCAACTCAATGTATGTGATGGCATTTCTCAGTTTTATATACCAAATCAAATGAATTGGGATTCGAAAGTTCGATCATTCTAGTATCATTCTTAGGATTAGTTATATGACATCTGTTTGTAATGTCTTTCTGCCTAATCTATAAGATCTTACGTGGAAATCACATCATGGTCCACAGATTCATCGTATCGTAACAATTAACAACATGATATCTGAAGCTTGTAAAGAACACATTTGGGCTAGAGTTAGAATAATATATTTAATGTGAGTAAAGACGAGTTATAAAAAATAACCACGTCTACAAGGCTGAACCGTGCCATCCAACTAATTAGATTAATTATTTTTCTTTCCACATTCTCCATCGTTGACCTCTTCGTGCTAATTGCTGAATATGAATTGGCTTAATTATCTTATGTTCAGCTGTGACGTTTGTGTAGCGAGGACTAATACTACTACAATTTCATCAGTGATTTGGTAGTTGTGCTTCTTATTTCGGACACATGTACCTTCTCACTAAGCTACTTCTGACTGACTCTCCGTATCGCATAGGGTGATGCTCCTGCATTAACAGAAGCATTTATTTTTTGGAAATGATTTGACTGAGATTGCTGAACACTCATTGGGTAAATAACGAGGTGGCAGTATTTATTTGGATAATAATCTAAAGCAAAAATTATAACTATATGTAAACCTTTCCCTACCCAACCATTTTTGTATGAATTTCGACTGGGTAAGAGTATGAGTATCTGAACTAACCTCTACAATTGTTGCTAACTCCAAATCACTTTAGCTTTAGATTGGCACTATCGATGACTATCATAGAGCTTTAAACTATGAGCTGATAACACGAAGAGATTAGTTGTCACTGAAGAAGCGTCCATGTCCAACCTGAAAACGAATTATGACGTAATCAAGTACCTCCATCCACCAAACTAGAACATAGAACAAATAATGCCACAAAACGCGGATTTATCGGGGAATAGGCCAATTTAAGTTGCCGCTCATTACGACCCGAGATCCTAGAATCCCGGACTGTTTTTTATAACTTCTGTACTTTGACCGGGACGCGTCAACTAAGCGTTGATAAATCACAATACGGCAACTTGGTTGGAAATATACGTAAAAGGTATGCAAATTCGCAGATACGCTCATAGTACCAGCAGTCGGTCTTATCATTCAAAGCACAAGATTAAAAGTAGAATGAGGGGTTAACTTATTCGAAAACTCAAATATTTCACTATTCAGTAGAAGAAAACAGGATAGGAAGCGAAAAAGTGACCCTTAGATGTTTTTTTTATTATAACAACAGCCTATTGGTTGACTCAACCGACTATATACGTCTAACACAGTTTTTCCTCAGGACTTCAGAAAGACTGACCCATGATCTGTTCAAAATTATCTTCCGTTTTTAATTAGAAACCTCTTTATCAGGCCCTCTCTACCTCAGAAAGAACATTGTTCTCAAGCAGTGAGTTTAAAACCGGATGGCCTCGTATTAACTCGGACTAAGGAATAAACCTCTTTCAGTTATCTTGGACTCATCGTATTCGTGACACACGTAGTACGGAAGGATAATGGGGGTGTATAGTCACGATCTATTAAAGCTTTTTCAGTCTTTATGTCACTAGATTAGTGATACATCTCCCTATTAAACTACTGATGAGAGAGCACCATCTAAGGTCAGGACATGTAACATTATACACGAATATATGTGCAGACGGTTTATTGCTCACAGTCCAAAAAATTTGCAATTCGCTAGCGTTACATGAAAAATACACCTACTGATTCATCTTAAAGAAGGTTCGATGCTTTCTTCATATCCAGTGGAAACAATCTTTCTGGCTGTCGACTAGCTTTTCATCACTTTTAGTCTTTGGGTGAGTGAAAAAAGTTTTAACTTTTTGTAAACCAGATTTTCTTATTTCAGTTTCAATTTGGAAGGGATAGGAGGTCTGATAGCCTGTGTTAGTCTTGGGAATGATGGTCTCTCGGTTGATACAACTTTCTTTTGAAAGGGTGTACGGATGGAGTCTCAACCACGTGCTGAGGTAATGAATTCCACTCATTGGTGATTCGATGGGGAAATCGATAGTCAGGTGACAAGTAATTTGTTCTGGGCTTGTGAACTTTTTTGGAGTGTCCTCGTAAATCCTCTGTTTTGGAAGACAGGGATAATGAGGGCATTTCAGGTGCAAATTTATCACTAAGCAATTTGAAAACTGCAATCAAGTCGCCTCTTGTTCTACGATATGACAACGGGAAAACGTTTAGCTTGGCTAGTCGAGCATCATACGGAAGCTTCGCTATTCCGAGAATCAGCTTATTTGCTGTTCTCTGAACCTTTTTCAGAAGCTCACTGCCTTTTTTAAGCAGGGGCTAGCCGCTTTTATACAGTACTCGAGTTTAAGACGTACGAACACTGTATACAAAGTCAAAAACATTTTAGCGTCGACATGACTACAAGGCCCACGTATTGACAATAAGGCTCTAAAACCTTTGGCGGATTTTGCATGGTAGTGTGCAGTAGTCTTTAAGTCTTGGCTAACGAAGACTCCTAAGTCATTATGTATCTGGACGACAGGTAGCTCAGTGTTATTCATCGTGTATGTATCTGTACCTTGATGACCGATAAGCATCACAACACACTTGGAAGTATTTATCGGCAACTGTCAGGTTTGAGACCATTCAGATAATTTCTTCAGGTCATTCAGGAATTCTAAGCTATCACATTTACATCGTATCGTTCTCCATATCTTGACATCGTCTGCATATTAGCATGACCGATGATAGGAGACGTAAGGCTCGAAGCATACTTTAGAAAGTAATGTTTCATAACTTTGTTTTATGTGACCTCATAGCTTTCGTTTTACAAATAAAGATTTGTTACGGATTTTACCTAGAAAGATAAGATTTTGTTTATCTGTATGTTCTTCCTCCAGTGACACATTATTTTGACTGTGTTGGTTCAGTAAGTCGTGGTTGGCGTTGGCACTCTCTATCGCTGTTAGTATTTCGGAAGTGCACTGTAGATTTATGTGTAGTTTTTTTAGTTTGGTTTCATTTCTCAAGGTTTTTCACGTCTTTGAACCTGCCTGTGCTAATAACCTACCAATATTCTTGTTACAGGTGTTCCATAGACCTCTAATGAGCGACTTTTCTTCGAAATTTGCTCAGCTAAGCGTGCGGTCGGAGAAAAGTAGTCACAATGACTTGTCTAACGTTCAGCGTGCCAATGGAGATGAAGACAAGGGTTCTAAGGGTAACCCATGGAAGCCAAGTAAGTTATTTACGATGCTTATTCCCCCCCAGTAGTCCCTAGTTCCGAAAACAATTCTTTGGAAGCAGACGCTTGGCCTGAACCATCGGCACCTACTGAACAGCGGCGTATTACTCGCATTGCAGAGGAAAAGCCTAAAAGTAAGTCGAAGACTAATGTTCATGTCTCTTCAGGAAAGTTGAAGTGGCATAATTACGAAGTTGATGATACTACTTGTGGTTTCCCTCGAGGGCGTGGTCGCCATACAGTTGGACCGTTTGCCGGAGCTAACTACACCAGTAGTAATGCCAGGCCATTTCGCAGGGGTAAGAGATTAACGTTCTGTGATTCTTCAGGTTATGGAGGTTACCGAAGTCGCATCTTACCTGATGCAAACAGAGGTCGAAACAGTAATGGGTTCTATCGTCATCCTGGTCGTTTAGGAAACGTACGACCAGTTAGTGAACCTAAAGAAAATCCAAACGAACCTAGTCAAAAGAATAGTCCAGTTCAAGCTAGTGATACATGTAGCGTCTCAGTTGATGTTCATTTGAGTACTGATGTATCAGCTCTTGACGAAAAGGTTTCAGATCGCGGTTTACATCTGTCAGAATCGGTTGATGTGTCAGGTCAACAAACAGACACAGACTTGCAGAATAACAAACCAAGCTCAGTTTCCTCTATGCCTAATCCAACACCCCGCAAAGTTTACCGCGAGAGATCCAATGTTTCGTCGCAGTCAGGTAGCCAGTCAACTAACATCCCATCTAATTATGATGCTGGTCCCGTTGGCCGTGCGAGACGATCATACCAACGACAGCATCAGCCAATGTTCCCCACCGAAACCGATAGTCACAATTTGAATTCACACTCTACTCTGGTTGCGAACTCCTCCATCCAACCTCTTATTCCCTTTCAAACTCTACCTCAAAGTAAGTAATATTTATGTTATGCGCTTACGAATGTTTGCTTTGGTTATATGTTGAGCCGCTAATCGCCCGGTCATACATTCGCCACACAAAATGTTGTGTAACTACTAATCCCTTCCTTAAATCAAAATGATTTACGTCCACAACCCATGACAAATCACTAGCCTATTTATACGAGATCTTTATGTCCGTATATTCTTCATAAGTGACGCCTTAATTTGTTGGATAAGGTCCACGTAAGGGCTTGATTAAGTGAATAGTGTACATGTCTCGACTGCAATTCATGCCAATTAGTTTTAATTTCTTGACATTGTGACTAAGCTTGTAGTGTTACTCCTGCACAGTATTCGCTGTTAGATGTTTTTTGGCGATATATTAATTTTTACTGCTAGTGTTCGATCATAAGTGTCTTCGAAACATTGCTCGTATATCCTGGGACCATCGAGTAAGTAATGCAGTTGTTAGGAAGCGGGTACTAGGTAAGAATGGCAAATCGATTGATGAAGTAGTGAGACTTGATCAGTTGAGATGGCTGGGACACGTGGTACGTATGCCCAACGACCCACTACCTCGACGTGCGATGTTCGGTGGTATAGGAGTAGGCTGGAAGAAAGCTAGGGGCGGCCAGACCAAAACATGGCACAAGTCTTCCCTTAAACTAAAAGATTAAAATCGCCTCATATCTTTCTACGAACTAATTCTTTCTTCCTGTACTACTATATCCTTATTACAATCTTCTATATATTACCACCTCTGATTTAACTACTTTTATAAATCCGGTGTCCATCTTGCTGTGTTAATGAGGTATGGCAACTTAGACCGATGCATATATGTTCCTGGTCCTACGTTGTAGCTGACCGACCATGAAGTCACTGACAAGTGGATTGAGTCATGTTAGGTGTAGACCATCTGTTTGGGAACCGCGAGATGATTGCAACCGATGGTTAGAGACCCTGAATGACATGGCTCAAAATCGTTTGCGATGGCGCAAGTTCATACGCTCTTTGTGTCCCCCCAAACTTAAAATCTGATTCCTCGTCTCTTTTTCTCTTCCCAAGTTTATCTCACTGGATTATACTCTTTAAATAACATATTAAGACCCTAATCTTTACGATTACTGCTTATACTCTTACTACCTCTACCACTACGGGATTTGAATCGACAACTGCATCTCTGTGATGTGGTATGGCAACTCGAACTGATGTACGTACGTACGAAGTTCTACGTTGTTACTGACTGACTGATTGCTCTCTCCAAATGCTCCCATAGGGCCGCGCATATACAACCACTGCCAGGGAAGTCCTACTCACCGTCTTGTGGCGGGGTGTTGTTTACGAAGGCGAGGATCAAAAGCGAATGTCGGGCGCTTTAACCGGTTTGGTGGATACCGAGGATCAACCTAGGAGAGTTGGAAAACTCTGATTCCAAACCAATGGTACACATGGGCTCCAGAATTCTGAGGGAAAAAATGTATGAGCTAATTTTTGGTCACCGGCTACCATGGAACTGCACCTCCTGGCGTTAGTCCACTGCCTTGTGGACCAGACCTTTAGGTCAAAGGCTCCGGGTGTGGCCCTCTAAGAAAACCACCTGCATCGTCCCAGGGCACCCAGACAGAATGACATCGCATGCACAAATCAAGTGACTTGTGTGGTGCATATGTATTTTATGCCTCTTTGTACCAATATTTGCGTTTAACCAATAAGTAAAGTCAGAGGTAGTACGTTTTGTGGTTGATTACACATATCCAATTTTATGATTGTTCTTACTGAACTGGACGTTTAACGTAGTGCACCCACACCTGGGTAATTTTTAACATTTTTTGGTTTGACTATATGCTATACGAGTTCCTGTTGATCTATGATCCGATCAGGTTTCGGTTGTACTACCTACTTGATGTATTTCGTAACACTGATCTTGCTATTCCTGAGTTGTGATAGTGTATTATAAAATTTCGTCTGAAAGACTTGAGAATCCCTTGTTTAGGTTATGGTGTGCTGTCTACATTTAGTCCTGGTTAGGTCATCCAGATTTTGTTCATTCATAATGTGTCCAAAATGTCACCCAATAATTTCGAGCAGTTACCCAACATTCTTCAGTCATACAGGATTGCTGCTGTGCAAGTTCTATTTAGAGAGTAGTCGTTTAATCCCAAAAACCATTCTAAAAATCAGTGATTTGTTAACTGACCCCATCTCTTGATGGATTGACTTCAGTACTAACAGCTATCAATTTGCGGCACCAAGTACATTTTGCTTTTGTATTACCTATCATTCACGACTAAAAGCGTCCGTAAGTCAAACGTTACTAATAAATAGTCTCAATCTCATCTCCAACTATCTGAATCACTGAACAACGTAAATATAAAAAAACAGGAAAAAGTCACTTATGGTAGTTTAACCTCAACAAACTCTAAACATACCTTTCGGCACCATATATCACTCGTAAGCAAATGTAACCCAAATAAGTGCAGCACGCAGGTGTAATTTTAGTTACTGATGGTATTTTCAAACACGCATAGGTATAAAAAGCCATTTAATCAGTGTGTTCAGAGTTCTACATCAAATCAGTCGAACTAAAAGCGGTATTTTGTGGGGTTGAGATGAGCCAACTGCCGACTTCTCCGTAGTTTAACTCGGTTCTCAAAGTGTTTCCGTTCTGATGGTCCAGATCTGTTTGTACTGTCCTCTGCCGTATTAGAAAATGCAAGATTCATTGATGTGTCTTAATAATTGGACATGGAATGTGAGGGTAAATCTAATATTTACATTGACTGTAAATCCTCAGTCCCCAGGATCAAACATTGTTTTTTGTCTGCTTGTACACGGATATTATGAGCACTTTTCCTGGTTGTATTTTCTTTGGGTTTGATTGTATTCCTTAGTATCATTGGTTTAAAAGATCATTTGCAAAGATTTCGTTACTAGTAAGCTTTATCCACAAGTAGTAGATTATCAAGATCATTGTCCTAAGATTGTGCGACACCTTAAAATCGGTGTTAGTACGTTACTCAATTTATTTTGATTCACGTCTTTGTAATTTCTTTTATATGGATACTATAAGAAATAATAATACTGTCTAGTTTGATCTTTACATCAAATATCAGTCAAGTAACGCTGAAGGGAACAAGCTTAAGTTCTATCTTTCCTAGTGTTATTTCCATTTAGTGCTTAATTGTCTTTAGCACAGTTGCTCAACCGTTCAACCTTCGGCAACCAAGTTCCGGATTCATACCTTACTCCGTTTTTGAGTTTTGGCTGGATGTTAGTATCATTATTCTTATTTAAATAGGGACTCAGAACCATGTAGATAAATCATGAAGCATAGTCGTACGTTTCGCAAATATAGATACTGTGTTGCTAATGTATTGTCACTCATTTCTAAGCTAATGAATCACCGTGCAATTCCTTTGAGAAAATAATAAGCAAATTTAACTTTAATTCTTATTCAATCAGTTTTTGCACATATAATTTCATTACTATGTTAGTCTGCATGTACGACACAAACTTCAAGAACTCTAGATGTGTTGATTGGGAAATTCGGATTTGAAGTAAGATAGGATTTTAGGAACCCATGAGTTCGTATAGTAGCCTATACCTCTGTCAAGTACCCATCTCTACCCATCCAAGTTTAATACAGTATCTTAATTAATCGAGGACCATAGTAGTCGGTTAATTAATCTTCAGTTCTTTTTTTGTTGTTTAGTTGCATATATCATCCCAGGAGCACCTGCAACAATGCTGACCCCTGCCTTACAGATTGCACAAACACCTGCTTCACATACAATAATTCCTACTGTGTCGCTACCAAACACTCAAATCCTACCCACTCAGCCGACAATACAACATCCTATTGGAGGTCTACCACATCTTCCGGTCGAAAATCTCCCCATACCTATTCTTCCAGATGGATCAGCTGTCCAGTCAGTACATCCCAGTTTCAACCCACAATCATCCATGACCTCTACTGGTACAGAACAACCAATTGATACCCCTGAAGTGGTTGACGTAACTCAGGTCATTGCATACATTAACGAAGTGGGATGGAGAAAAGTAGTTTTTCCCACAAGCCTTCGGGAGCATCGTGCAGTCGCTGCTGCTATAAAAGATGCTCTAGGGTCATCAAACCACGACTTAGCGGATCTCACTGAATCAGCGGTTAACAAAAATGACTTGTCCAACCCGTCATCTACCCAACCTCGTAGCGATGATGCACCTACAAGACCAATAAAAGCTGACGATATTATCATAGTTGAAGATCGTGTGTTTTTTGTTCCGAAAAATGTAAATCGAACCAAGTTTCTAAAGTTCCTATCGAAATTGGATTATATTAAGCATCATGTGTAAGTTAGGTTTTGTTTTACAACTCATGCTTACTAATAACTGTTATTATAATTAACTCCTTCACCAGGTACTTAGCTGAGCCACATACTAAGGGCTGATGATACCGTTGGGTTGTTATGATGTTTCCGCATAGAATCTCCAAGAAATTAGGCGAAATGAATATCTTTATTTACATGTATAAAAATGAAGTAGTGGGAATATGACCTGTCGTCTGTGGTTTCTACTTTCAGCTTATGTTCATCACCAAAAATATTAAACTATGTACTCTTATTTTAATGACGTGGAGTTTTGTTACTGTTGTTTTTATAGATTGCTGATCAGCGACACATCCTACACGATAGATCACATCCGTAATTATGGTTTAATAGAGTAATCGTAACACGTATGTTCTTGACGCGTCACGCGTCACAAATGTACTCATATAGTTATTCTCTAAGATATTGCTATTATACCGTACAGTTTTTGTACTTGAGGAAGGTATTAGCAGGCTGCATACTGTTTTAAATTGGTAAAGTGATTTTGGAAATTAAGTGGTATACTCATCGTTTCCACCTCAGTTTTTTACACTAACGACGTCCTACTGGTAATAGACAGTAGTTGTGCAGATCGTCGTGTAATTTACCCTAACTTGGGTTGGAGCGTTCAAAAAATTGCTTTCTATTTCGGAGTTAACACCTAAAGAATAACTCGCTTCTGACCCATGCTTAAAAGAATACATACCTCCAAGTTGTTCAAATAAATTTAAGTAAACTTAGGTTCACTCCACTGTTAGTTAACAGCGTGAAAACCGGATGTGAGCTTTGGTATTTATGAGCTGTTCAGTCCAACATACAAAGATGTTTTAGCAAATCTGTATTTATATTATTAAACCTGAGTTCCAGACTGATAATATTTTGTTTTCCTTCCTTTAGCGAATATTACTTCAGTGAAAGCAATCTACAACGTGATTCCCACTTGCGTGCGATACTAACTGCCAATCAAGATGTTTGCCCTCTATCCGAGCTGTTACAGTTCAATAGACTTCGCTGGGTGTCCGCTACTGAATCCGAATTGCTAGATGCCGTTTCCAGCAGCAACGTCTTGTTGGTCGTGCTTTCCCCCGATGGATCACCAGCTGGAATTACTCGAGTTTGTCCAACATTGGTAAAACATTTCAATGAAGGCTGTCCTCCATCCGTCGAGTTTGGCTATGTGCGTCCTGTAAATCAAGGTGTAAGTTTGGCAACTTCGGTTTCTGATCAAAACACAATTGTTGTGCAAGTATCTTCAGCTTCCGGTCAATCTCTTACACATCCCAGTGTTGATCCTTCAAATCAAAACATCTCAATCCTGAGTCCGGTCTCAGCTCATTCATTTGGAAGTCAGGTTTCCGCAAACAGTAACAACGCCCCTTTTCCATGTGCAACACAGGTTTTGGGAGTTTCGGGTCAATCCATGAGCTCCGTTCCTCATAATTCGCTTCCGAACTATATTCAATCTTCCGCTCACGTCTTGACTCCGAACAATTTCGGGATTTTGACAAACACTTCACCAGGGAATATGATATATTCTAGTTCTTCACCCTCACAGCAGCACGTGTCAGTTACTTCTCCGTTCTACCAATCCGACCTCGGTCCACAATCTACAATTAGACCAGCACAAGCTTTTCATTGTCCACAACTTTACACTCAAAACCAAGCTGCTGCGTTTATGGCCGCGGCTGCCAATCAATGTAGTTTGTTAGCGTCAGGGCCCAGCACTACAGTTTTGCCTCCGTCAGACCCGAATACTGCGTCCTTCATATCCGCATTATACCGCCTTGCCACTCCAGGTAGCCCGGCGCCTATTGTTGGGACGTATGTACCTTCCGTTGGAAATCCTAACAACATGTCTCCTGCTGCTCCCAATTCGGCCGTGTTTCTCCAATTTATTCCAGGAGCTCATCCTGGCCAAACTAACGCCTATTTCGCGCCTCCAATTAGTTGTCCGCCAGGCACAAACTCACTGTTAAGCCGTTCCGTTCCTGCACACGCTAGCGGAATGTGGATACCACTCAACCAAGGTTCTGCTGCGAACGGTGGTATTGTTCCGACGCTTCCTTACCAACCGTATGTGGCACTAACTCAGGCTCATCCGAGCCTATCGCTTTCCAATAATCCGAGTGGTAACGGAGGGTTGTACGCTGTAACGTCTTCTCACTCATTCCCAACAGCCTTTGGAACTGTTCCTACTTTAACTATTGGTCCTGATGTCTCTGGCTTTGGTGTTCAGAAAGTGTTCAGTCATGCTCATTCATTAAGCAGTCCACATAGTTTCACAAATCACCAATCACCCGTTACTTCAAACGCGAACGTGACAGCAATAAACACACCAACCGGACATACTTCTCAAATCAATGTAAATCATAGTTCAGTTCCAGGTTCACAGCCATCAAACAGTAACTTGGCTTTGGGTAAACGAATACCTACAAACAACACTCAAACATGAATCTAGGTCTTTCCATAAGATTTTACCACATCCCTTGCTATGTACAGTGTACAGTTCCCCTTGTCCACAGATTCTTTATAACCTTTTATCACTTAATAGCTAGCGACATTTCTAAAATTTCAGACAGTTATCTATCATCTCTTTGCACAGCTATAGCAGTTGTCTAGTCACTAGTTCCTGCATATGCGATATCTGTACTCACAGTTTGTGCCTTGAATCGTTTGTTTTTAACATTTCGAATTATTTTTGTAATTAAAAATATGCGTACTTTCTTCCGAAGCTAACCTCTAAATGGCATACGTAGCTAATATCGGACAAGATTTTACGGTTTGCTGCCTGTGATATAAATCTTTAGGTTTTATGACTTTCGTTCAGGCTGTGCCTGTCATCCATTCATTTGTAGGTATTTTATTCGAACTCAGAGCTGGTTGTCTTTTAAAATTTAGTCCTCATATTAATTGATGTATTTCTTCAGATATAGTCCACAAAAAGTGTAAATGCTTTTAGTTCCCATATGTTCATGCCCTAAGTGCACTTCGTCTGTCTTCCAGCGTAGTGGGGTGCAAACTCCCGAAATTAAATTAGGTTTCCTCATTTCTCACTTCCTGATGTCACGTAGTATATTTATCCAATTGTAGTTTACCATTAGTAATTCTTGTTCATTCCATGAATGCTGTCCATTGTAAATATTACCTTTATCACTTAGTCTCGAATGTCTACATTATCTTTTATGTTTATCTTACTGGTTTCGGTACCTAACACCTTGCTAACTAATTTGTCGCAACAAATCTTTAGTGTTTCCTATTATCTTCAAGCTTTCTTATTCTCATTTGTTATTATTCAGATTCTTTAAAAATAAACGTCCAAAAAAATGATGTGTATCCTGAGTATTTGTTCTTTTTATAGCACTTTAATTGTTGATAATATCGTTTGTGTAAGATAATACGTAAAAGCATGTCAGTATTTCTGACCGATGCATTTAGGTTGTAAGGATTTCCTTCATTTGCTTGATGGAAAGATTGTGTTCTACCCATGTCTCAGTAATATCATTGAGCTAGTCCTCCCGCCACTAAAGTGGTGTATTACGTCAGCGGCCCGCCAATTCGTGTCCAAAGATAGCAACTAGAGGTCACTCGTGGTAAAAATAAATCATCTGATTTATATACAAGGTGGTTATTGGTCGCTTTCATATCTTCGAAATGATAAATTGAGTGTAGATGTACTTTAGGATTGCCTCGTCCTGCTGAATGAGTGTTGTATGTGAAGGCAGTGGTATCTAGTTCGTCAGACATTTAACTCGGCTGTCAGATGATTGGAGGCGGTTGCCAGTAAATACCGCTAGACGTCGGTGCCTTCCGAATCAGCATTCGTCAATAAGACATTCGGATCATTGAGGGAACAAGGACTCTGTGAGATCCAAACATAGGTTATTCGACGTTACAAATTGCGACGTTCCCACTGAACTAGTCTGGTTGCAGCTGAACTGTGAGGATGTAATAGTCAAAGTTGATTGTTCACTATGTATTGGCTGTTGTCCAAAGTTTCATGTTAATCACCTCTAACCACCTACCATGATGTGTTTTGTGTTGCATCGAGTCATTCAGGTTGGTTGGCTTACTGAAACTAGATCCGTAGAGAATTGAACAAACATTACATTGGTCACTACTTAGTGACCAGTCGATTGTGTCTATTTCTACTGAAATAAACGTTCTCAGTAATTGAGTATACCTGAGCCAATCATAACTAGTACGATTGGGTTGAATTTTGTTTAGGTCGCCAAGTTACATCTCTTAAGAAATGAAATTCATAAGCTATGAATACATTCATGCCTGAATTGTTTGTGATGTATGCAGCTTATGGTAGAACTACATGTATTGCAATAGTTTTTGTTACAATTTAATGAAGTTAACAATTGGTAGGAACTATGATATTAAGCTTTATATTTGGTCGGTTGCACATTTTTAATAGATAAATGTGAAGGAATAAAGCCATACACTCGATCACGACAATTCTCTCAACTGACGAAAATTCAGAGGACAAAGAACTAGAGGGTACGTTACCATTAGATGGTGGTTGGAGGTAGTCAACAGGAAACCCTGGACCCGGGTTTCCTGTTGACTACCTCCAACCACCATCTAATCTCATTACATAGTGCCCGCAGTGTCGAGTCACCTAGACTGGTGGCCACATTGCAACATGATCGATAGCATTCGATCTGCACTAATAAGGACTAGACAAGCATGAGATTGATCACCACCCAGTGATCAATCAATTGTGAGTACGTTACCATTGTTCATTCGAGGCAGTCAAAACTTGAGGAGTCAGGTGTATAAGTAAGATTTCTTGTGTTCAGTTGTGTAAGCAAAAATACGCAATATCCCCCGTTTGTATCCAGATTTTACAAAGTTCAAGGCTTCTGGTTCTAACTTAAGAAACCAAATAATATCACAGTTACATATATATTTTGGGAGTTCGTTTAACCATTAGATGTGTTATAAAGGGGGACAGTTAATTTTCAAGTTGAAACCTACATCTACAACTCCACACTTTAAAAAAGGCAGAGGTGTTAGGAAAGAGTAATCACATAACTCAGTAGTTTAATTACATTTGTTAATTATCGTATTTTAATCTTATGATATTGTGAATTGTGTTCATACGGTGTTATCGATTAATTAGTGTATAACACTACCTAATTTTACTTATCCTAATCGCTTATTAATCAGTCTATGTAAAGCACACAAAATTCAATGTTTTCAAACATAGTTTTGATCTATTTTTGGTGCATAATAAATCTTTATCTACGGTCTTTGCTTTTTTCTTTATAATGAAACCTCCAATGGTTGACAACTTACTATGTATTAGAAACCAATCGAATTCATCTGAGAAATTATTGTAATTGATCACTTGGTGATAGTTAGTGCCTTACTGTTTATACCTTATTTTTGATTTATTTCTATCAAGTTATGATATAATCACTTCTCAAAACGGAGGGTTAAAAAATAGCCAACCTTAGAGATACTACATTTCACTTTGAGTCACAAATGACTTGAAAAATGGGAGCCAGCACATCTGGAACTACTCACAACAATCTCGTGTGACCGGACTTAAAACGTTTCTCAAGCTCTCAGGTCAACAAGACCACTTAACGCTATTTTCTATCTAAGCTCCTCCAGGAGAACCATCCTTCTACGGTATGGACAACGAATAAACGCAATTGACCTCATACATTTAGCAGCACTGAAGATCACTATGTTCATGTAAGAGTATTTGGAATCTCCAACAAATAGATACTACTGTTGGTATATCGAACCTGTGTCATTAACATCAACGAAAAATACGATCCCCTACAAACTAAAGTTCATATATATTGAACAAGCTAGTGACTATCTGGACCCAATGACTGCGTAGATAACGCATCTACGTCTAAAAACTCAGTGTAAACATACATGCCGAGGAGCAGTAGATCAAAGTGATGACTTGCTTATAGGACATTTGTCCTGGATCCCACAGTTCTTGCAACTAGCGAGAACTATTATATATATATATATATATATATATATATATATATATATATATATATATATATATATATATATATATATATATATATATATATATATATATATATATATATACGCGATTATATGCAATAAAAATTAATCACAGTAGATAACAATTAGAATTTTTCCTGGCCTTTAAGCAGACGTACATGAGAATTAATCCGTTTTATCCCTGATAAATTACTTCCTTATATGTTAAGCAGTCTTTAATAGTTCTTATGCCACTTTGGCAGAAAATTGATTATGTTTGGTCATTTCCCTACGATCTTTTGAATTCTGTTATATTAACAATAAAAATGCGGTAAGTAAATATGAAATGAAGATAGCTTTAAAAAGAAATAATCTGATCGATGTGTTTCCTTCCCATATGTGGGAATGTTGTTGGTAGACCAGCTCACATGACTAGTTAGTCACATTTTAATAATGTTAAGAACTTGGAATGCTACATAATGCATACGATTATAGACGACGCATTGAATAATCTTGAAATTATCAAATGGACAGAGCATAAGTCAGTCATTTTCTAACTTTTGTACAAAGTCAAAAAGGTAATGTTTACGTCATTTAAATGGTTTTTGAATAGTTTATTTAAATCAAATGGCTATCCAATAAAATATTTGGACCTGTTGAATTCACGAATTTCAGATACCACAATCGCAGATTATTTTGACTGGTCATTAATCACTATCTGATATGAACGTATACATAAATGTGCCGTTTTTGAAATATGACGAACTTCGAATAGCACGAGGTCGGCTGGAACGTATTCATTGTTTACAAATTGTGTCTTACTCTGAGTTTTCATTCATTTTTTTTGGTTAAATGCAAAGGTATACAAGGACATTGGATGAAGTCAAGAAATTTAATTTTGTGATTAATTTAATGTAGTATTTTTTGATCAGATCAGATGATGGAAGAAAAGATGCGATAATCGGAAACTTGATAAAATGATCAGTTGCTGTATAAGAAAGATGTGGTCACGGTTTAACAGTAACAGTTGTTTAAACATATTAAGTACTTAACACTACTGTAAATGATACATTTATAAGCTTATCTAACGAATTTAGTCGATTTGAAATGGAAAGTATAGACAATTTCCTATTGTAAAATAATTATTTAATATTGCTGAACAAAATGTATGACAAAGTGAGAAACTACAAACAACATTATTATGACCCGACTCGGCATTCTACGCAAATCGAAATATTTAACTTTGATTGGTGAATGTAACTCAATAAATCTTCACCTGAAATTATGGTATGCTACTTCGATAACTCTTGACTCAACGCCCATAGTATTTTTTCAAATAAAATGGTATTTCTCGTCATTCCAACTGACAGTAATGCATAAGAAAAAACATATGTATTTTCCTAAGGGTGGCCACGGTAACTAGTCAATTAACGCGCAAGTCTGGTAGCACCTAATTCAAGGGTTTATAAATTCAAAATGGAAATAATTAAAAAGTCGTATTCTGTTCGGGTATTTTGGAAATCAAAAAGTTACCAACAAGCACAACAGAAATAAGTAATTGTAATGAGATAAACTGAGATAACTTAAATAAATTGACGTGACTGAAATTTACAAATGGTTTATGTCTGCCAAAATGCTAACTGACTCGTGGTGAATATTGAAAATCCTGCAACCAGTGATTCATAATGAAAATCCAAAGACTTCTGATATTAATTTATTTAACCCCGGAAATAAATCGAAATGATACACGAGTACACTCGTATATTTGAGTTTACTAAAACTTATTGACTTTTTAACAATTATCACACCTAGAGGGATTACTACAAACCCAAGATACAAATTACCAGTTAAACAACCGTCAGACATGATAGTGACTTCTGGGTCAGTTTACAAGTTTTAGCATTTAATCACAACTGTTTGGTTTCAGTTTTAACTCAGTTTTCGCTTCAATTTATAAAATATTAAACTTAACTAAATATTCCCATGAAACTTTTATGGATTACATAAGTGTACAAAATAAACATAACACTGAACTATAAGAAAAAGCAAATAAAATTTCGAACGATTGTTTATTAGAAAAAAAATCTACATATTAAATGAATATGAAAATAGAATTGTGCTTTATATTGATAATGATTAAGTGTTTGATCTTGTATGTAGTAGGATTATACAATGTAAGGATGAAGACAACGATGTATTGTATTCAAAAGTTCTAAATGTGATTAGTTGGATAAGGAGTATTAACTAATATAATGTTTGTTCAGTTCTTTGTCCTGAACAAGTTATATAATTAGAATAATCAATGATGAATTTAAGTCATTCACTTGGAAAAATTATTACTCCTTTAACTGTGAT